TCCTCCCTGGTTGCTCTTGAGAGTTATCTCAGCCACTTCCCAACTGATGGCGATCCCAGAGTCATTTTGATGCTAACTAGCATATACATTGAGAATGGCAAGTATTGTAAAGCTCTTCAACTTATTAAAAGAATAGAAGATTGTCCCAGAAGAGAATCTTCATTTAATGATCTAATAATGGCTAAGGCAGGAATTTGCTACCTTCATCTTGGAGATGTAGATAATGCAAAATCCCTTTTCGAGAAACTACATATTGAGAACATGAATGGTTTTACCGAATCAATCATTGAAATCGCAGACACGTTTAAGAAGCTTGATCACCATCAATCTGCTTTGCATTACTACTTGATGTTGGAAAGGGGATTGGGATCAACTAGTGGAAATCTAAATTTGAAAATAGCAGAATGTTACTTATCTTTGGAAAAGTGGGATGAAGCAATTGGATGCTTCTACAAAGCTCTTCCTTTGCTTGAGAACAGTGTCAAGACTCGGCTGACCTTAGCTTCGCTTCTTCTTGAGAGAGGGAGAGACGAAGAAGCAATACTTCTTCTTTCTCCCCCAAATTCAGACTTTGGATTGAGAACCATCTTTAATAACAATAGTACCCGTGATGAAGAATGGTGGAATGACATGGAAGTGCAACTTAAGCTTGCCAGGATCTACCGAGCTAAAGATATGTTTCAAGAATTTATAGATACATTCTATCCCTTGGTTTATCGGTCTTTTACCTCTGAAGCTTCAAAGGTGGCCGCTAAGAAAAAAAAGCTCCCAAAAAGAGTGCTTCTAGAAAGAGCCAAAGTTTTAGATGACGATCAAACTGACAATCTAGTCCAGGGATTTAAACCTGTGGCTAACGTAGATGATAGAAGAAAGGCCTCCAGAGCAAAGAGGGTCCTTTTAAAAAGATGTTCATTGAAAGATGAAATGAAAAGAAAATCTTTAGCCGCTGGTATAGATGTGAAGAGTGAAGATTCAGATTCAGACTCAGAATCGCGGGTATCTCTGCACAAGAAGAAACCTCCGACGCCCAAACTCCTACAAGATGCGGAGAATCATCAACTCTTTGTGGACTTGACCAGAGCTCTGGCATCTCTAGGAAGATACGAAGAGGCATTTGATGTTTGCAAACTTACACTTAGTTTTGCTTCAGACATCTTGTCAGATGAAAGGAGAGATAGTATTACGAACGTCGGTGTCCAATTGGCATGTAAAGTCCAAGACACAAAACGTGGTTGCAAGTTTCTAAAGCCTATCCTTCTTCAACATCCATATAAAATGGCGTTATGGAGTTACTACTACAAAGCACTGTCGAAAGCAGACAGCACTATCTCAAAAAACAACAAGTTTCTACAACATGTACGCAATCAACAGAAAGATTGTGTCCCTCCTATTGTTATCGCAGGGCATCAGTTTGGCGAGATCAGTCAGTATCAAGTAGCAGCTAGGGAGTACCTGGAAGCTTACAAACTTCAGCCTGATTGCCCTATAATTAATCTTTGCGTAGGAACTGCTCTGATTAACTTAGCATTTGATGTTAGACTGAAGAATAAGCATGAATGTGTGTTGCAAGGGCTGGCTTTTTTGTACAACAATTTGAGGTTGTGTGGGAAGAAGAATGATTGCCGCCAAGAAGCCCTATACAACATAGCACGGGCATATCAGCATGTGGGGCTTGTGACTATCGCAGCTTCGTACTATGAAAAGGTGCTATCGACTCCACAGAAGGATTGCCCAATCCCGAGGTTTCCCTATGATGAATGTCAGTATGCACACCGAATTGAAAAACCCGGTGGTTATTGCAGCCTTCATAGGGAAGCTGCCTACAACCTTCACCTGATTTATAAGGCTAGTGGGGCATTTGACCTTGCTAGGCAGCTTTTGCAAGATTATTGCACTGTTTGAAGCTCTTTTTCTTTCTCTTGCTATATATTGCTACTATCTATGCTTGTACTGAGATTTTGTGAACCGGCAAGTATGTTGTTATTCACTTTATTATTTTGTAGATATTTACATGTACTTTGTTGGTTTGTACTTTTGTGAGTTGCTTATGCGTGATCTTCAAATAGCTGTCCGCTTGTGGTTATGTTTATTTTGTCGGGTGAGAACTTTTTCATTCAATTGAGAGCGAACTTTGTTAAAGTATCCACAAAATTACCCATAAAAACCCCATAGATAAATTCATAAACCTTAATAGATAGGTTTTAAATTTGAGACTGAATATTTTTGTATTCAAAATGAAGAAATATTTATACAACCCAAATAATAGAAATCTAAGACATTAAACATGTAATCAGCTAATTCTAAAAAAGAAATAAAATACATTATATTTTTGTATTGATAGTTTGATACCAAATCAGATCTGATATGCAGTTGTAGCCAGTTTCTTAAGTCAGGGAACAACTTCACACTCCCCCTCTAGCTGGGTTGTGAATATCAAACATCCCAAACTTGCACACTAGTTCTTCAAAAGTGGTTCTTGAGAGAGCTTTCACGAGAATGTCAGCAGTTTAAAATATTGGTGGAGACTAAACAGCTTGGAAAATGGAGTTCTGAATTTTCAGTCTGTGTCAATATGCTTAATCTTGTTGTGATGAACAGATTTTTTTTTTGCAATATATAGGCTTTGCTGTGAATACTCTTTATTCACCAAGTAACCTTTTAGCCAAATCTCTTCCCATATGCCATGAGCTAGAGCTCAAAATTCCACTACAGCTGAGCATCTAGAAACAATTTATTATTTCTTGCTTCTTCATGTTACTAAATTATCCAAATATAAAAGTACTCCAAACTGTTACCATCTTCTGCCCTGTCTGCAACTGCATAAACTCTGATTTCGTTATTAACCCTCCTCCTAAAATATAGCCCTTTTCCTGGAGTAGTTTCGAGATATCTAAGGATTCATGATGTAACAGCTTCCATGATGTAATATCTATCATACCTACAGAGAAACCAATACCACATCCTGTGTAGGATAAGTAAATAAGATGACCAACTAGCCTTGTATATACCCCCTTGTCCACAAGACTCCTGCTCCTCTGTGAGGCAATATCTTCTCATAACTCTATTTGAGACCATGAGGGGTTCACCAGCATTTATTAAAAGTATTTATCTATTATTCATTGTTAAATAAGGATTGGTTATCTATTCTACTCGTTAGAAGGACATTTCATTTACTCCAGTTGGAAGGCTCTAAGTGGGCATGAGAAAGAGGACAAGGGATGGAGACTTGGGTGGAAGAAAAACTTCAATGCATTCTAGTAAATCAGGATGGGTTAAGTTTCTTTTATTTATAGCATAATACTCATTAGCAGGACTTTCCAGTGATTACCTAATACCCCGTATTATTCAGGGATGGGGTGCCATCCCTAGAATGAGGGAGGAGAGGAGGGGGGAGTCCGGCCGGTGCTGGGGGCTTTTAGGGATGGGGTGCCATCCCTGTAGAATGAGGGAGGAAGAAACCTTTCATGTTAAAATAATAAAATTTGTCTGCTTGCTTGAAGAATATTGTAGAGGGGTTTTGCTAGGTATACACAAAATGTGTACACCTTTTTTGTACACTTGTCTGTCCCAGGCAACTTATATATGAATTGTCTGTGACAGACAATTTGTCTGCCTGAGACAGACAAGTGTACAAAAAAGGTGTACACCAAGTCTTGTAGAGAGATAGTAAAAGATGTTTGGGGCAGCCGGGTCTGTTGGCTTATGGAATCAGTAGCCTTTTATGGGAAAGAGCTATAAGTGGGGTAATAGTCACCAAAGAAGAAAATTGAAACATACATGCGGAAAATAGATGTCTCACAGAATTTAATTAGATTATTATGAATTATGTTTTGCTAGTCTAGAAATAAATATCTGCTCGAAGTGTCAATAGGGATGGCAATGGGGCGGGTTTGGGGTGGGGTACACTCCCTCATCCACCCCATGTCTAAAAAGTTCCCCCCATCCCCGCCCTACCCCCATTGTCCCCCACGGGTGCCCCATATAAATTAAATTTATTGTATTTGCATATACTTTTTTTTTGCAAGATTTGCATATACTTTTAATCTCTTATTATAAATATATGTAGTGGTACCAGAAATTACCCGGCCCGTTTGAAACGGGTCGGTCCGGTCCGGGTTTTACGGTTTCTATTCTCATGTCTTGAAATTAGTAAAAACTCACGAAGTTCCAAAAATCCATAATTAATACTATAGGACATTAGCAAGTTTCAAAATAACAACATAGTGGTGCACATGTAACACAAGCGACAAGTCCAATACTCCATAATTTCATGTATATAAGTTTCAAACAATTAAAGAAATTCCAAAAATATGCAACATAGCCGAAATACATTTTTTCTAACATTTGTATTTAAACATGTTGTCTAACATCACATATTAAAGTGATTGTTTTTTTTTTTTTATTAAATTTTCAGTAGTAGCCAAAGTTGACACATACATGGTGGGTGGTAAACACAATTTATATATTTTAAGAACAATATAATAAAAAATATAACAAAATCATTTTTAACAAATAATTAAATTCCATAGAAAGGAATAATTCAATAACAATAAAAAGTAATAAGATATTTATGAAACATTTAATCAATAATTTGAAAACAAAAGGATGTTGCTGCAACTCAATATAAAATCCTACTTCTAGCAAAGAAAACAAAACTATTTCAAAACCGTTTATCACAAAACTATTAATAAATTAATATACAATATTCTGCCAAAAAAAAATTAATATACAATATATATAACGGGCCGGGCCGGGTACCCATTATTTTTAATTTTGGAACCGGTCCGGTTCCTTAAAAAAAAATACCCGACCCTATTCGGACCGTTTTATGGCAACAAAAAATGGAATCGGCCCGTTTTGAACCCGAACCGCCGTTATCCGGACCGGACCGCGGTTCCAAGACCCGTTTGGCCACCCCTAGTTATGACTTATGAACCTAATCGAAATCAATAAAAACGGAGGTGAAAACCGATATGCTCCCTAGTTATATGATGTTATAGTCTTGTTTAAAAAAATTAGAATTCCAGCCCAATTAAATTTTGGCAATTCCTCCAACAGAAAATTCCAAATTCTGCTTTTTCAAGAAGCCAGTTCTTGCCTTCTCCAATTCTTCTACGGAGGCCAGACTCCGCCACAGGCGCGCAAAGCTTCTAGCTTATCCGGCTGCAATATCAAGTTATCTACGCTTGTTACCTTCTTCTGATTCACCAAATCACCAATTTCACATTTCAGTAATTTGGATATAAGGGGAGTGGTGTTTACACATATTTGGTCATTGGATTTTTGGAGGCATAGCATCGTCAACGCTTATTTCCTATTTTACTTCTTCTGATTTCTGAAAGATTGAAGGACTCAGACTGAGCTTCTTCAGCCCTTCTAAGGCCAGATACAGTCAACCCACAGCACGCAGTCAGCCCTCGCGCAAAGCTTCTCTTCAGGTTTTTGTTTGCTTTATTTCATTATTGTTATCTTTTGATGCTTCCTTTTTATTTTGTCTCTTAGAATTTTAAAATATTACTCTGGATATTAAAAAACCTAAATTTGTTACAAAACAATCACAATTTGTTTTGGAAAATGAAAATATATGTGCTAATGCTGGTGTGAATGATGCTATTATTAATTTTTAGTATTATCATTGATTTTGATTATAATGTTGATGCAAAGATTAATGCTTAATTGATAATAGTGGTGATATTGGTAGTTATATTTATGATAATGATGATATTTTAGCAAATTTTTATAATCCTTTTACTGTTAATAGTTTTGGTTGATTATTGTTGAGTTGAATTGTATACTATCATGTTTTACTTTTGATAAAACGACTTCTTATATTAAATTTTTAATAAAATATTTTTATACTTTAGCAAGTCCTTTTTAATTTTGAACAGGACCTTATTTGAAACTACCTACTTCCCTAAATTAATCATACATTTTGTTTTTTAATCCGTCCCATTATTACTCAGTTTTGATGGGAAAATGGGCAAATCAAACTGAATCACTAGATATAGATGGATTGTAGTGTATCATAGTGTCTCAGTAATTTGTACAATTGGCAATTCGCTCAATCTCCTTGGTTCTTTGTTTCCTTAACGCCAGCCTAGGACCTTATGGAGTTATGGAGATGGTATATGTTCCCCAATTATGCTTACATGCAAATAACTTATAGATGAGTTTTCAAATTATGATAATGTGCATGTTTTTGTTCGTTTGGACAAGATACCAGAATAGGGAGATTGGGACAGCGGATCTGAAGCCATCATAGCTTAACAAATTACAACACAGAACGTTGCATACACTGCATTGCTCTTAAGAAGAGCATGCCGTTGAACTTGTTTTCTGTTTCTCTCCCCTCTTCAACTTTCTCTGTTAAGGTGATGTTTACTTCAACTCTTTTTTATGGACTTACCACTTATTTTAATCAAACCAGACCAGCCTAAATGTAATATACTACTTATTAGATGAGAAATTTAAACAAGATCTGGAAATTTGAGATCACAGCATAAACATTCAGACTAGAGTACTAGACCAGATATATCTTAAGAAATTCAGATCAAGCCACATTTTTCAGACGAAGAGAACCTGCCCTAAAGTGGGGGCATACATTTGTCCAACAAGCGGAACAAGAGTAAATTGTAAAAGAATGCATCCCAATTTCTCAAAATTGGGTACAAGTCCCCTGAAAACCAAGTATTTATGTTCTTCAGAGCCGTGTTTCAGCACTGCAAATAGTGGAATCATAATGAACACGCATCGTGTTGTTGGAGACAAAGATGGACTGATCATTGTGGATCATGGGTCTCGTCGCATGGAATCAAACCTCATGCTAAGTAAGCCCTCCACTTGTTATATCGATTGTCTTTAGTTTTTCTTTACTTTTGAAGGTGCTTTGTTGGTTTGGTTTGGTTTGAAAGTTACCGTGGAATCTGATACTTGCTGTTGTCAAATTAATGAATTGCAGATGAGTTTGTTAATTTGTTTAGAGATAAAACTGGTTATTCAATTGTTGAGCCTGCTCATATGGTATGTTTTTTCTTCTCTTTTCTTTCCTGTCTTGGGTTTCTAGTTTAACATTTATTTGTCCAGTGAATACATTTTTATTCAATGAGTTGAACTTTGTCAAAGAATCAACAAATATATTTTCATTTCTCCCATAGATAAGTTCCCTGATGGCCTCACCATTGCTTAGGTTTAAGGTTGAGAGTAATGTGACTTATACGGGTCTGATATGATGTTGGAGGTATTTAAACGTTAAAAGACATTCATGCTTGGCTACTTTCTTTTTCTCTCTTGAAATAATACGGAATCCCATCTAACTAGGAACCGTAGATTGTTGAGAACATTTGTTTCAATTCATTCTAATTTTTATGAATCTTTGTGTCAATTGATTGATCTACAATTGTTAAAGTCTTCACTAGTGGAGTAGTGCGTTCTAGTGAAGACTTTATTACAACTTATGTAGAAATGTTATGGACATCCATTTTAGAATACCTTGGAATTAATACAATTCAAGGAATCTTGCTGGAACTAAAGACTAGCCACATTAATTGAAACCATGTACACATATCCAGTGTTTGTTTTCAATGTTTTAAAATATCCAGGAGCTGGCAGAACCCTCTATAAAAGATGCATTCAGTGTGTGCGTTCAAAAGGGGGCAGACCGGGTGATTGTATGCCCATTCTTTCTCTTTCCTGGAAGGCATTGGCATCAGGTAAATGTTCTTCTAGCTTTAATCGGTCCTGCAACTCCCTTTTGGAGGCTAAAGAATGTTTTTTCACACGTTAATTGACAGGATATTCCTCATTTGACTGCTGAAGCTGCTAAGGAGCACCAGAACGTGTCATACATTATAACTGCACCTCTTGGGTTGCATGAACTACTTGTGGTATGGAAAGAGGAAGCACCTGTGTTGTTACCATATTTACTTCTACTAAACATCCTCATATCCCATTTTCAGAAATTCATCTCTAAGTTTTATTATTATATATTTGCAAATACAAATTTAAATGAATAATAAATAAATCAAATGAATATCAAACTGAAGAAACGTTAATGGAACTTATTTCATTATTATTATATGTTTGGTTTTACCCCCCCACACGTCATAAATGTTTGGTTACATGTTGAATATCAAAATGAATATTTGCAAATATGGCATATCCTTATGCCCACCTCTTACATTGCATTTTCTTTCCTTCCAATTTTTCCTCTATGTTTCCCCTGTCATCTTTGTGAATTATATTCTGGGTTCAATATGGACCATTTTTAATTAATTACATATTACAGTGATCATTCCTTCTGTTTCTTCCTTTTTATGCTATCTTACAACACGATTGCTTCTTCCACTTTCATATTCATTTTATGTTACTTATATTTTATGATAATCCTTCCTATAAATTAAACATGGGTTCACTCTAACCCAGTTAGCTTTGGAATGTGGTTATTACGGTGCAGGATGTCATGAATGACAGGATTAAACACTGCTTAAGCCGTGTAGCAGGAGAAGCAGATGAATGTGCTGCCTGTATTGGAACAGGGAGATGCAAGCTGTACTAGTGTTGGTCTATTCAACTGCAAATAAACAGGCATGCAAGTTGATTTTGCTCTGAGATTGAGACTTAGAGAAGTGATGTGATCTCCGTGAAGAAACAAAGCACTTTTTTTATACATTGACCATGTTATACACATCTCTACCTCTTGAGAAATGCACTTTCTTTTTAGAAAGAGTAGGGCTAGAAAAACATGTTATTAGTACATTGTGTGCCTACATCTGTGTGGAAGGTATATAATGGGAGATGAAAACATGTCAAACAAAGTGTATTAAAGGAATGTAGTCCTAATTTATTGTTTTACAAATAATAGTACCTGCGAAAACATGTGTTGTTTTATACTCGTAGTTCCAAACTTTAAGAAACAATAAGATTTAAGCATGAATACTTGTTCGTGTAACTGGTCCTCTGGTAGCCACAATATGCTGCTTACTTTGGTCATTTTGGTTATTAGCAAAAAAAAGTAGAAACTTCTGACCTTTTTTAAATTGGTTTAGGCCTGATGTGCCGGTCCTGGGACATTTCCTATTCTGTTTTTGTATACTATCTCTAATCTAATTATGCATTTAAGGGAAGTGCAAAAGTCACTGTAATCTAAACCACTCTGAGTAAATCCTGAACGAAGCCCTTGAGTATACAGAAATGTGATACTATACTGTAATCAAGCATGGCAGTGAAGCACTACTGCTCACTACCAAGGGAATAAAAACACAGTGCTTCGGAATTACATAACTTTTTTACTCATTTATTGCTACTAGTAGGGGCGGACCGTAGTACAGACCCGGGGGTTATCACCCCTCCAACAACAAATATTTTTAGTGTATATATATACGGAAAAAAAAATTCGCCCCTCAAACAATAATTTTCGTCCGAAAAAAATATTTTGAACCCCCAAATATGAATTTCCCGAGTCCGTCCCTGGCTACTAGTATTCAAGTATTCAACACATGATTTGTATCTCTTATTAGCTTTATTTATCTCTCAATAGGTTAGTTATTCTCTAATTTTTCTTCCTTCTTTAACATTTGTACCTCTTTAATAAATTTAACAAAATCCAATTTCCACTATAAATAAATATATATATATATAGAGAGTGAAAAGACATTTTATCGATGACAATATAAACTTATGTGTGTCTGCACATATATAATTTGGATCGGATGAAATGAGAAAATATGAACCATGCATTATTGCATTATAATATAATTGTGCAGACCAAACTTGTCAAGAGGCAAGAACTAAATGTACTTGTTATGGAATTATCAGCAAACCAAACTTATCAACTGGCCACTTAAAGATGAGACTTAATAGACAACATAAAACTTAAGCCGCTCTCAAATTCCAACGGCTGACAAGAGCTTCTGCCTTAGCTCTTGCTTCAGGACTGTATCCACGCTCAAGAACATTTTTGGCAGCAAAATCCTTGACAAACTGGTCAACAACTTCACGCTGAGAAACTGGGAGCTTAGAAAGGGTCTCCATATGATCCTGGGTTTGTGCAGCATGCTCATGAATAATCTTGCCAGCAGAATCCTGCACAAACTGGTTAATAGGATCGCGCTGAGCAGCTCGGAGCTGAGTTGCATGTAGCCTGAAGATGGTGTCCTTAAAAAACTGGGTACGTGCAGCACGCTTCCCCTGGTACCAGTTTCCATGATCAATTTCAAAAACTTCGAGAATAATCTTGACTTGACGTAGGAGTTCTTCATCATATGGAGCATTTATGGGGGAAAGTTCTCTTAGAGGGGTGTTCTTTGGGATATCCTGCTGCTTCAATGGGTCAATATTCCCCTTGCAGAAAACCTTCAAAGGACCAGAAGCAATTTGTGCTGCAACTCCAGCTTGATCAAATCGTCGGTATAGGTCAACTGCATGAGGCTTGAAGTATCCAAGGAGTGGAGTTTCAGCTACAGCTTTTAAGGCCTTCTTCACTAGACCAGGTGAAGAGAACCATGTTACCCTATACTTAAAAACATCAATAGCAGATTCAATGTCACCCAATGTGTACACCTCAAAAAGGCCTTCAATATATGGAGAATGAATGATCATATTGCAGATCTCTCCAAACCTTTTCTCACTTAGGAAACCCCAGAATACTGCTCTGTAGGATTCATACCAACGCTTATCATCAGTACTGCTCCCAGAAGAAAGAGTACAGATAGATGTTATTACCACTAGCTTTGATGCAGCCTTCCATCTATTATAGTTGATTTCAGTTGCTAGGGATGTAGCTGGAGCAGCTTCATTAGGGACAGTAACAGCTGCCTCATTGTTAATGGGAATAACACCAGATGAAACTAGAGCCACCAGGGTAGAAGCAAATGCAACATCCTTGAGATTTGTCTCATCAAGATCATTATCAGCCATACAAGCCCTCAAGTTTGGGATATCAGATGAATAGCTCTTGATGGTTAGTCTGGAAGTACTCATATGAAACTTTAGGGGCATGGGTAGAGCCATCAGCTCTCTAAGTGAGTCAGGAACTCCTGAAGGAGTAAATTGAGGAGTAGGAGCTTCAGTCCTAGGATCAATATAGCCTCTAACTTCCTCATGTTTCTTGCCCTTATGCTTGTCAGTCTGTTTTGTGTCACCAGTCCTCATCATATACGCAACTTCTGCACCCAATCAGACCGTGAAAGGAGGCATGACCCTAGTTATATATGGGTTGGGACTTGGGATAAGTTCAAATAATGAACATTTAATATGCTTGGGAAATCCAAAGGGTGGATGTAATATACTTCGTATTTGATATGCTTGGGAAATCCAAAAGATTGATGTTTATTGCTTTTAGTTATACGAAGAGTCAATGTACATCTTTAAATCCTGGTGTTTAGAACCACCGTAATAACATGTTAGATAACCAAATCAAAAGTTCTACTAGACTACTAGTTCATTGACATATACGTGTGTGCATATAGCAGAAAAGTTATCCTCGGGGGTGCTTGTGCCCCTGCGGCCTTGTAGCTTTTCACTATATATGTAGTAGTCTCGTACTTCTTACATGTACATATACTAAGTATATATTAGTAAGTTATAATGTGCGGCCCTTATTAATCCCTCATGAAAGCATAAGGCTTGAATTTGACTAATTGACTCAAGGACTTTTATAATGGATTTATAATGGATTAGTAACGGACAAATAATGTCAAACATTTGTCATTTAACTATGCTGACATGTGAGGGCTTAAAGCCGATTAAAAAGGGTGTAAGGGATTAAAGGCTCAAGCTTCGGTCATACACTATGGTGTGAGGTGTTAAATCAAAAATTTTGTTTGTTATGACAAATTAATAAGAGATCATTCTTTATTATTCTCATTTGATTTCCAATATTTTAAATGGAAGGGTAATCAAAATAATATCACCTCTCCGATCCGTCCATTATTTTTTGTGTAATTTTAGTATTCACTCATCGCTTTAATATCTCCAACATCGTTAAACTAATTATATTTCATGGATCTTTACTTTTTTATTAGATAGATTCTATGGTACCCATGAGGTACCATACATTTGTCCACATGGACCAATCAAAATGTTGCAGTTGAATTACTTAAGTCTAAATTAAAAATGATATATCTATGTGGACGAATCAAGTGAATGGTAGGTACGGTACCCCATTTTTTAAATGGGTACCGGAGTTCTCACCTTTTTATTATAAAATATACTACTAGGAAATATATACTACCGGTATATGTTTAGTGCCGCAACTTCTTCGACACTTCCTTTTGTCACCGTCTGCCTTGTCGGAGACCAAAATTCTAGGGCCGAAACAACCTCCCCTGTCGAGTTACCGAAGACCTTCCTTTTCCCGTTATGTGCCCCTCCAAGATCCCCAACATGGTTCCGCCATTGCCTCCATCCCACATACTCTTGCTACCTCAAACAGGCCTAATAACCCCATGCGGCCCAGATACAGCAGCCCAAGCACAGTGCAACCTGCATTCCACAAAGGAATGCATTCGGCATCATGGTCAAAGGCCTCAAACTTAGGGACGCCACTCCATTCTGGTCAGGCAACACACCTGAACATTTTACCTCATCACATCAACCTTCAGTCATATAGCCTTCAGTCTCAGTACCGAAGGCCCCCACTCTCGACATAAGCTCCACTCTGCCTAGTGTCCAACCACCGCATTTAATGTGGTTCCACATGTCAGCACCCACACAATCGAGGGCTCTCTTCCATAGACTAGCTTACACGTATACATGCATTTAGTGTCCCTAGCATTTTTGACTAGTATAAATAGCGCCCCTTGGCCAATTGTGGCATACCACTTAATATTTATTGCTATCACACTTTCTCCCTCTTACTTATTGTTCCGACTTCTCTATAGATACCACTAACGTTATCCCGGTATAGACTATCTATCATACCTATTTGAACATTTTCTCAGAAATTTGTATAGTTTGAGAATGACATAGATCACTTTCACATTTTTGCACCCCCTATTTGGCATGTTAACACTGTCAATTTATCTAAAAATGCAATACATATAAATTTAATTGTAGTCACTCTAATACTTAGCCATTATAAATAATTTATCTTCAAATAATAGTATAATACACACTCTGTAACTCTGTATAAACCTTTGGAAATGGAATAATTCTACGGCAAAATTATCTCTACATCACGCGGGTGAATTACTAACGAAACATTTTACTATAAGGAATGATTTTAACAAGGGTTAGTGCGGGACAAAAAGTGTTAGTTCACATGCACTCATTCTTGAACACCTTCTGATGTTCGCTTGTCATTCTAATTTCAAATGTGTTAATACCCGAAAATGACTTATTATGTCATGATGGTAAATAAAAATCAAATACATTCGATTTCAGGTGTTGTTTTTTTGTTGAGAAAATCTTTTTGTAATCATGACCAACTTTGCGTGATTGTGTCAAAAGCATCGAATCATTGAGTGTTAAAAAATCACATTACAAACAATGAGAGAGAAATAAACATTGAAACCAAGAATGCTACATATAAAAAAGAGTACGTTTCATAACCTATAGCAGGGAATCTAATGTACTTTCAAATTATATTTATATTGCATGATTGTTACTTACTATTTTGTGGTGCTATAAAAATTGTTGTACTACTAGGTAATCATTGAAATGTCAATTAGACACTCACACTTTTAAAAACACACCTAGAACACATAAAAATGCTCAATTGGGGTTTTGACCGGCAGACTCATACTCCCTCCGTCCCATAATTATCTTCATTCTTTCCTTTTTGGTCCGTCCCAAATTTATCTCCTCTTTCCCTTTTTAGCAAAGTATTTGTGGTTCACAACCATTCTTACACATTTCTCTCTCTTCTGCACAACTCTCTGCCACACATTTCCCACTTTCTTAATCTCCGTGCCCAATCAAAACCGAAGTTAATTCTGGGACGGAGGGAATAATAACTTTAGCAATTTTATGTTAATTAACTAGCTTTACTAATTACTTTCGAGTTTTACGCATGTCGTATGGAGCATTGCAATTTTTTAGACGATCTAAATAGGTTGTAAACAAATAGTGTAGTAAGGCTGTAATGCGGAAAAAACATTCTCCATCTATGATCCATGGAATCTTGTCATCTAATCTAATAATACATGTAGTGATTAATGGATAATGAATTTTGTTAATGAATCAATATATATATTATATATATAAAAGAGGAACTTTTTGAGAGCATACAAAGCGCCGTATAAGCATGTTATGTCATTATATATAACAATTATTTAGTTATTTTTATACCTTTTGTTTTTATTAGATTCTATTTTTGATTGCATATTGATATGGAAACAAAAATCCTTAAAAATCCACCTTAATTAATTTGGTAAGCTTCAAATAAGTAAAATAATTTTTGGTTATCAAAGTGAAATTCTAATAACGTTTATTGATATGGAAACTAATTAACATAAGTTTACTAAATGAAATTAAATAGAAACAAATATGCAAATTAGTTTACTTATTAATTTGACACCTATTAATAAATTAGTAAGCTTCAAATAATTAAATATTTGAAAACGAAATTAAAAATTATAACCAACATAAAGTATATATATTTTCACAAGTAAATACGTTTAGCCTAGCTAAATAAGTAAATATTTTTGGTTGTTTCTTTAGTTTACACCTAAAATTTAAATATGTCTTCACTTTTGAAATAGATTCATAATCCAAATTAGAAAATTTTTATATGTTTACAAATTCCTACATTTATTTTAATAGAATGTTTTTAATTGGATTGATTTCAGTTCCAGATTAAATCAGGTCAAATCAATCTTTAATAATTATAACAATAAGTCACATAAAAAAACAGACATCTAATAGACCATATTAATTCATACCAAATCAAACCCGAAATTTTAACTCAATTAAAAATATTCTTATTACTGAGTAAAGTGTAAGATCTAACAATTAAGAAATATAAAAAAAATTAATATTGAGTTCATAACAATTATGTTTACTTGAGATGCTTATGTAGAAGACCAATTTATTTATTTTTCATATAATTTTTTCTTTGTTTCACAAATGGAATATATTTCACAATTATTTTTCATGATTCAAGAGATTCCACCTATTTAACCAGAATTCAATCAATTTCAGCAAAATAAGTTAATTTTATTTATTTTAGCCTTATCAAACAGACTCAATATTAGACTAAATTTATTTTTCTTTAAATCACATTATATGTGATCCGATAGAAATTAAATTTCAAATTAGCTAAATTACATACTGTCCGTCCATCGCACGGGCTTGAAAGCTAGTTGTTAATAAGTAATAACGGATTCAGCAAATTTGATTAATGCAATAAATAGATGATTTGTGAATAGATGTTTGATAATTTAACAGTTTAGCCGTAACAATCATTAAAAATGACCTATTTCAAAATGCTAACCCAAAACACTAATATTTGTGACATTTTCATTTGAATGATTTGGCAAAAAACCTATGACTCAATAACCAATTACCAAACAATTTTTCCACTTAAAAAAAGTCAAATCACAAATTTTTTACTAAAAGTCTAAAACCCCTCAAACTTGTAATTAAGAATCAAAATAAGCTTAATAGTTAGGTTTAAATATGTTTCTAGTCCCTACAAATATAGTTCATTTTGTTTTACATCTCTGCAAAATAATTTTTTTTTGGTTTTTCGTACCTGAATTTATGTTTGCTTTCTTTTTAGTCCATTATTGATGATAACAAACTACGCTTGACTTCAAAATAACCTTGATTAATAGATTTTCCCTAATTCTTTATCATGTTATTAAAAATTTATTTTATTTTTTAAAAAACTTTTAATATGTTTTAAAATGTTAATACTTAGTTTTACATTATTTTAACTCTCATATTGGCTTCAAAAAATTGCAAAACGACAAATTTAAATATTTCTAATAAATCTAGGCAACTCACAATAATTTTTTCTAAAGTAAAGAGGTTTTGGAATATAGAGGGACTAAAATCAAAATAGTGGATATTAGAGGGATAAAAAAGATAAACAAAGATTGTAATATTTGGAGGGACTAAACACGTATTAAAGCCTAATCGTTAATGAAGGCGACACGTCAAATCAAAACCACTGCAGCAGCATAGAGTACGTGGCACTTTAATCGCACGATCACCGGGCCAGTGGGCCATCATGTATCTGTGCTGACCGGAAACATAAAAACTCTAAAAAATAATCCTAGTCTCCGGCCGCCGGAGGAGATGATATCGACCCGAAAACCCGTTCATCGTCGTTCTGATCTCCGCTCCCGGCTGCTGGGTTTTTATTGAGCAGACCAGAAGGAGATTGATTACGGTAAGAGAAGGGCGGCTGCTGGAATGCCAGTACAATTTGGTCTTCTTCCCCCGCATTAATTTCCCGCCCCAGAGGTGGCCTGAGCTCGTCGTCGTCGTCGTCAAGATTTGTGTTGGAAGGAGAAGGTCGCTTCCGTCGCATGAACGCCGCCGCCGTCATATCGACTCCTACATTCTGCTGTTGGGATAACGAGGGCCGCCGCATCAAAGGGTTGTTGGTGGGAGATATTCCTTCTTCTCTCCTTGCTCTGCCTCCCGGTGTCGTCATCGACGCCGACAACCTCGCCGTGCCGGAAAACAGATCCAAGCGACGAGAGTAAAGCCCGCCGGCGCTGCCGGAGAACGGCCCGGCGGGTATGCCTGTGAACTCCTGAACCATCTGCCGGAAATTGGAGGTGTCCGTAGTGAGTACGGTAGTCGGCGCTCTCCTGGAAGCCCTGCTCCGTTTCTTTGGATTGCTCTTCTTCGCCGCCGGCTGCGGCTGCGGCGGAGATGATAAATCACCGGGCCCGCCACGACCCAGAGCGACAAAATTCTGATTGTGATTATTGTTGGCCATCTCAGCAAGCACTTGGTGCTGATGATGATGTGACGCCCCACCAAACAACAGAGGAGGCGATTGATCGGATCTTAACAACCCCAAAGGCGGCGGCGGCCAAACAAGACCACCACCACCCACGGCGTCATTGTTATGATGATTATGAAAGTGGGAATTGAGAGATTGGGGAAAGTTATTGCCATCATCTTCATCGTCGCCGTCATCTTGGGGATCGAACAGAGACAGAGCCGGCGGTGACTGGGCCAGAAACTGGCCCTGGAGCTGCTGTAGGGAAGTGGAGGATGATGATGAAGGCGAGACCAAAAGCAAGTTTTGTTGCTGCTGCTGGTTAATGGTGTTCGAGAAAGTCGTCGCCGTCGTGATTGGGGTTGTCGGCTGATCAGCACCCCCTGCCGCCGCTGCATCGTAGTACTCATCTTCTTCCTCCTCTCCGCCGCTCGATGAACACTGCTGCAGGAGGCCAACTTTACCATCATTACCCGAATCCATACCTGAGATCTTATGCAGTAATTATTATCAGAAAAAAGGATGGCCAAACTTACAGTTTGGTGAAACAAAATAATCCAATGACAATTTTAAAAAAACTGTCAAATAACACATTCATGTTATAAAATGGAAGGAAATAAGTAGAAGGTCAGGGAGAGAAAGTATAGTCTGAATACTTAGTGAGAAAGATGTTATTAGAAGTGTGATAATGGTGTTGTAATGGTGTTGTAATGGTGTTGTAATGGTGTTGTAATGGTGTTGTAATGGTGTGTTAATTACAATGAGAATGACTCCTATTTATAGGAGAAAGTGTGAGCTCAATGAGATTAGGAGATCATTGTGAGCCACATATTTATCACCTTGAAATCATAATTATGATTTCCTAATTATTTATATAATGGTGATAATAATTCCTAATCAGGAATAGTTGGAAGATGACTAATTCAATTATATTTCAACACTCCCCCTTGAATGGTCATCTTCTAATTATTCTGGGGTATTAGTTTCATAGTATTATAACGTACTGTCTCGTTAAAAACCTTTGTCAAGAAAAACCCAGTGGGATAAAAACCTGACGAAGGGAAAAAGAGTGCAGTGCATTATATTACTCCCCCTCAATTTAACATATATCTCGAAGACGATACATTCCAATTTTATGGACCAGTTCTTCAAATTTCTTCGGTGCCAATGACTTTGTGAACAAATCAGCAGGGTTGTCGCATGACTTGATTTGTTTGACATCAACCGTTCCGTCATTCTCAAGATCATGTGTGGAGAAAAGTTTTGGTGCTATATGCTTTGTTCTGTCCCCTTTGATGTAACCTCCTTTGATCTGAGCTATACATGCTGTATTATCTTCATAAATCACAGTAGGATTAGAAGTAAAAGATTTTATACCGCATTCATTTTGTATGTGCTGGATCATTGATCTCAACCAGACACACTCACGACCTGCTTCATAAAGAGCAATTAATTCTGCATGATTTGATGATGTTGCAGTTAATGTTTGCTTCATTGATCTCCATGATATAGCGGTATCACCATAGGTGAATAAATATCCTGTTTGTGATTTTGCCTTTTGTGGATCAGACAAGTATCCTGCATCCGCGTAGCCAATTAAAGTGGCATTTGCACCATTCTTGAAATACAATCCAAGATCGATTGTACCATTGAGATATCGGAATATATGTTTGACACCATTCCAATGCCTTCTTGTTGGGGAAGAACTGTACCTGGCTAATAAATTTACAGAAAAAGCAATATCTGGTCGAGTATTATTAGCCAAATACATTAATGCTCCAATAGCACTCAAATATGGTATTTCGGGACCAAGGATTTCTTCATCATCTTCACAAGGTCGGAAAGGATCATCATGCACATTGAGAGATCGAACCACCATTGGAGAATTGAGCGGATGTGCTTTATCCATGTAAAATCGCTTCAAAAGTTTCTCGGTATAATTTGATTGGTGGATGAAAATACCATTTCTCAAATGTTCAATTTGAATGCCGAGACAAAATTTTGTTCTCCCAAGGTCTTTCATTTCAAATTCTTTCATGAGATATTTTGCAGTATTTTCAATTTCATTAGGAGTTCCGATTATATTCAAATCATCAACATATACTGCAATTATGGCGAATCCTGATTCGGATCGTTGAATGAAAACACATGGACTAATAGGATCATTTTTATACCCTTCTTTAATCAAATATTCACTGAGACGGTTATACCACATGCGTCCAGATTGTTTTAATCCATATAATGACTTTTGCAATTTTATGGAAAATAAATCTCGAGATTTCGAGCTATAAGCATCAGGTATTTTAAAGCCTCCAGGAATTCTCATATATATGTCTGTATCGAGTGAACCGTATAAATATGCGGTCACCACATCCATTAGGCGCATTTGCAGCCTTTCAAAAACAGACATGCCAATTAAAAATCTTAAAGTTGTAGCATCAACTACTGGAGAATACGTCTCATCATAATCGATTCCTGGCATTTGAGAAAAACCTTGGGCAACAAGTCGGGCTTTGTATCTAACGATTTCATTTTTCTCGTTGCGTTTACGCACAAAAACCCATTTAAAACCGACAGGTTTTACGCCTTTTGGCGTATGGACAATTGGTCCAAAAACATTACGCTTTTCTAGCGATTTTAATTCTACCTGAATTGCTTCATTCCATTTTGGCCAATCATTTCTACGACGACATTCGTCAATAGATTTAGGCTCATTGTCATCGTGTTCATTCATTATATCTGTGGCGATGGCATATGAAAATATATCATTAACATCAATATCATTTCTATTCCATTGTATTCCATTAGAAACATAATTAATTGAAATTTCAAAATTATCGACGTTTCTATCTTTATCTGGAATATTTACCTCTTCGAAGGTGATTGGATCCTCTTTTGAGGTATCATTATTATTGATGTTATCTTCAAGGCCGATATTTTCAAAATGTTCATTTTCTTCTTGAGAAGGTTGAACTTCTTTGGCATCACAAACTACAACTTGCTGTTTAAATTTTCTTGGTTTCAAATCTCTTGAACCAAGTGGTCTACCACGTTTTTTACGTATCATAGATTCATTAGCAAGTGTTCTTTCGCTAATCTCCGCAGGAATTTCTATTCGAGAAGGAGCATTCATAGCTGGAACATGTGACTTTGTCACTTTCTTTGAGTCTGTGAATGCATCAGGCAATTGGTTTGCAACATTTTGTAAATGAATAATCTTTTGAATTTCTTGTTCACAAGCATTTGTGCGAGAATCAAGAAAAGATAAATTTGTTGCATTCCAAGTAATATCTTTCGTACGTGGGTCCATTTCTTTAATATCTCCCCCTAAGGCTGGGAATACTGTCTCATCAAAATGACAGTCATCGAACCGCGCGGTGAATAAGTCACCGGTCATAGGTTCTAGATAATTAATAATTGAGGGTGATTTAAAACCAACATAAATTCCCAGCCTTCTTTGAGGACCCATTTTAGTACGATAAGGTGGAGCAATTGGTACATACACAGAACAACCAAATATTTTTAGGTGTGATATATTTGGTTCTTTACCAGATATTAATTGTAATGGGGAAAATTTATGATATGCCGTTGGCCTAAGCCGAATTAAATTTGCAGCATGCATTATAGCATATCCCCATGCAGATGATGGTAATCTGGATTTCATCAATAATGGTCTAGCAATTAATTGTAATCGCTTAATTAAGGATTCTGCAAGACCATTTTGTGTATGTACATGTGGAACTGGATGTTCCACATCAATCCCAATTGACATGCAATAGTCATTAAAAGATTGGGATGTAAATTCTCCTGCATTATCAAGTCGGATTTTCTTTATCGAATAATCCGGAAATTGTGATCTCAAACGAATAATTTGAGCAAGGAGATTTGCAAATGCAAAATTTCTAGTCGATAAAAGACTGACATGTGACCAACGTGTTGATGCATCAATGAGCACCATAAAATATCGAAACGGTCCACACGGAGGGGTAATTGGCCCACAAATATCTCCTTGAATTCTTTCTAAAAATGCAGGAGATTCAACTCCAATTTTGTATAAAGATGGCCTGATAATTAATTTGCCAAGAGAACAGGCAGTGCACGGAAAATCACTTGATTGTGGAATCTTGACATTAGTTAATGAATGTCCACGTGAATTTTCAATAATTTTGTGCATCATAGTGCTGCCTGGATGACCTAAACGGTCATGCCACAAGATAAAGGAATTGTGGTCATAAATTTTAGATACCACATTTATCTCAATTGGACTGATATATGTATAATACAGTCCCGAGGAATATGCTGGCATTTTTTCAGAAATGTATTTATTGCCAGATCTATTTGTCGTTAGACATAAATATTCCTTCTGATTTTCAGACATGGTTTCAATATGAAAACCATTTAGACGCAAATCTTTAAAGCTCAAAAGATTTCTCCGTGATTTACTAGAGTATAAAGCGTCTTTAATTATTAATTTTGTCCCTTTTGGGAGAATCACACAGGCTATTCCAGAACCTTCAATGAGTTTAGCAACACCTGAGATTGTATTGACATTAGCATCAACTAATGTCATATGAGAAAAATAATCTCTATGTCTCAAAATGGTGTGCGTTGTGGCACTGTCTATTAGACATTGTTCAGAGCCACTTGGAGAAATTTTAGTTAACTCCATATCTTCGAAAAGATAAAAATGAACAAATATTAGTTCAATATTGTAATATAAATTGTACTTCACTTAATAGTACATTTAATTGTGCATAATTTTCACGTTAAAAATAAGCACTTTAAAATTTTATTTTGAAATATACTCCCATCAAGGAGAAAATAAAGTGAGGTACTATATTCTGACTTTTAATAAGAGAAGTAATTAAGCTGACATATTTACTTCTTATTAATTCAATTCTACCTCATCATTTGGGGTCAAAAAACAATCATGAGTGTTGTTATATATAGGGGGTTATTCCCGGTTTCGACAGAAACGTACATAATAACCGTTTGGATGAAGTTACTGTCATACCAATTGTTAAGGGGCCCATCTTAACAATAAGAGACTTTGCAACTCGATAATCAAAGGTCCTTAAAGTACAAAACTTGTGTTCATAGTTTTTCGTTGAAAGATTGTTTTGATGAAAAACCTTGATGAAAGGTTATTATATAGTTTGGTTAACTGGATGGCTTTGATGTACTATAAATTATTGTCTTGGATTTAACAAGATACGAATACGAAGTACAATACAGCAGTCCATTTCTGAAGTAATTTTAAATCATCTGTTTTTAAACTTTATTTTAGTTAAAGTGATTGTATTGAAAAAACAATTCACAGCCATGAGGTGGCAAAAAGTAAACAATAGTTGGCTTTCTCCCAATTCAATACTCCGTGTTTTTTTTTTCTAGTTAATGAAAGCCAAATATGTCAACAGGAGTAATAAAACTAAATACATGGGGCCACATACATCACACCAAGAAATAATGGTGGTAAGTGGCAACTTATTTCCGCTCCAGTGATTACTCTGTATTTAATGTCAGATTCAAAATTATGTTCTATAAACATACACATACAAAAATTAATGGAGGTGTATGATGTCTATGTATGATGTCTTATTTTGCTCACATGTTTATGTCGGTATGAACTCGTCAGACCATTCCTTTATATATATACGAGTATATATTTATTTTACTTGAATATTTCGGAGCTAATCTTTTTCTACCGTTCTTACCATTCAATTCCTTCAATTTACAGAACTGAAATACGGAGTACTAATTATCAAGATGAAAGAAAAGGAATATTTGACGGTATGTATCATGTATGCATGAATATATATAAGTTATTTATTTATTTTATTCTAAAGCAGAAAACAAATTAAGCTGATTTTAAAAGATAATATAACTGAGTGTCGATCATACACATATACGAATATTTATTGTGTATATATACAGTATATACGAAGTATAAACACAACCATATGTTGTTTGCCAATAAATAAGTTAGGTGTAGAAGTTGTCTTTTAGCTACGTACTGCGTAGTATTATTGTTTGTTCAGTTCCCAGGCTGTACATGTCATGTATGGCATTAAATTTATTGCTTCTTCATGCCTTTAAAATATTGACTATTTTTCTTCATACTGGTGAATGGTGATAGCTCTTTCGTATGCAGGGATCTGAGAGTTTTAAAAGTTCAAGCTCTCTTCCACTCGGTTTTCACAAATCCGTAAGTTTATCCCTTTTTTTCCGCAGATTAACCACTTCTACTCTTTCTTTTAATATCCATCATTTCTTCTCTTTCTTTACCAGTATTTTCTTTTATATTTCGTATGCTCATAATCTCTCATGCTTATAAAATATATGGTCTTTGGGGGCTCATAAATACAAAGAGCAATTTAGCAGACAAGTACTTACTCTATCTCTCTTATTAGTTGAGATATGTGTGATTGTGTGTATACTCCATGTATTAATTTTAATTCTCATATCTCATAGAAAAATACGTATATTTCAATCTGACTTTATACTTATCTATTTCATTCTGCGGAGAGACAATTAAAACTTTTATTTTAGAAGGGAAGATCCATAAAGAAAATGTTTGGATCTAGTTAAGGTATGTAAATCTTCAACCGTTTTCTATATACGCATTATATAAATATAGCTATAATTTTCTGATATGGAGGATCCCAATAGTTGGGCAACCATAGAGCATACTTCTTATAGTTTTGAATATATACATAAATATGTTTATACTTCTCAACATCTAATTTTTCTTTTCCAGATAAGTTGATAAATTCATGAAATAATATACCTGCTGGGAAGATGATGATTCCAGGATTTGGAGCAAATTCGTGCTGATAACGTGTTATAAAATGGAAGGAAATAAGTAGAAGGTCAGGGAGAGAAAGTATAGTCTGAATACTTAGTGAGAAAGATGTTATTAGAAGTGTGATAATGGTGTTGTAATGGTGTTGTAATGGTGTTGTAATGGTGTTGTAATGGTGTTGTAATGGTGTGTTAATTACAATGAGAATGACTCCTATTTATAGGAGAAAGTGTGAGCTCAATGAGATTAGGAGATCATTGTGAGCCACATATTTATCACCTTGAAATCATAATTATGATTTCCTAATTATTTATATAATGGTGATAATAATTCCTAATCAGGAATAGTTGGAAGATGACTAATTC